ATATGGTCAAGGTTAGATCTTGTCAACATGATAACTCGAGAAAAATGTCACCCAGGATTTTGAATTGACACCATAGATGAATCTCTCCTCAGAATTTGGTGCCCTTAATTTCAAGGTCAGAGTTCAGGTTTTCTAAACATCCTGTGAATGCGATGTTCAAGAAAGATGTCACCTCAGATTTTCTAATTGATTCCACAGTCTCATTTGCTAGGAGGCTGATGGGCAGGACTGGTAGCTGCCAGCCAGTTTAATGATGTCACTGAGAGAAGATCTCTTCTGTGGTCATCTCAGGCTTCAGTCACACAGGCTTGAATAGCAGTCACTATTAAATGTATGGTGGTAGCTGGCTGACACTGGGTGAAATCAGTTGCAAAGAGGTTTCTGTAATGGGCAGCAGAAAATTGAAACACTTTTTCAAGTTCAGTGTAAAATAAGAAAATTAGAGTTGTAAAATATTATAATTGACATTCAGTTGTGCAAATTTCTCGTAAATAAACAGGTTCGGCCACACTCATGCTTATAAAGTCTTAAGATGTGTCTTAAAACAGAAGATATGATCTGAAATCCACTTTAGATGTTTGTTGTTTTTTTTATTCACAGCTGTTTTTTCCTCACTCTCCTACACAATTAGCTCTTACACTGAGACCATGCTATTTGTGGAACAGGCCAGACTGACTTGATTTAAGGACAAATTTCTTGAGAAAGCCAGTTACTCTTGGTGGTTAAATCCTAGCACCTGAATATGCTAATTTAGCAAGCTGTGCTGTGCAAATTCAGGACAAATCACAATATTATTATTAAGCTTGTCCTTACACTCAGCCGCATACTTACTGTGATGTGTATTCCTATCTCATTTTTGGTCTTAAATTGTATTTAAAGCAGCAAAAAAATTTACTTTCAACTCGCAGTTTGGGATTTTTAATGACAAATGAAATCCTAACAACTCTAAATGGCAAATGAATGGTTTTATTGTGTAAAATCAGGTCTCGTCTGCTTTTTTAGGAACTCTAAACAACTATATTTTTTCTGAGGCAGTGATGCAGCTCACAGTGTGCCACTACCTCACAATATATCTGCTTCCAGTCAACAATATTTTCTTTATTTATATCTTTGAGTCCAGACAAACAGGAGCCAACGATGCCCACTCCGAAACAAATACAGTACTTTTGTTCCTTCGTGTTATGAGATTTGCTCATGCGTTTGCATGCATTTGCTCATGCAAAAACGCACACACACACACACACACTTGCATCACACTCTCGCACACAGACAAAAAGTTTAAAAAGGAAAAATAACATTTGAGCACACGTGACTGGCTCTGCTAAAAGAAGAAATCCATCCCCTGTGCCATTTGTGTTTTTATTCGAAACTCAATTGAATAAAATAAACGCCATCCTCAGTTCGGTTTTCCTTTTATTATTCAATTTACATCAATTTGAAGTGTAGCAAAATAAAAACAAAAATGATCATGGTCATTATAAAATTAATTTTTTTTTAATGTACACACCCTTTACACACACAGAGACAACCCACCCTGGCTGCTTCTGAGGGGCTGTTGTTGGAGGTCCACATTCAGGTGTGGACACCACAGGAGGCCTCCGAGCTCGCCTGTCTCTCCTGTCTTTACCTGACTGCACCCCTCCCTCAGGGTGGAGTGTGAGTGTGTGGTGTGAAGCTAGTGGGGGTGGGGTCAGAGATGCGACTGGTGATTTCAAGCTCTAGATCTAAGTCATTAGTGTCGGGGGGGGGGAATAAAGATAAAAGAAAGCCACAAATTGAGCTCTTTCTCTCATACTGATAACAAAACAGACAGAATGTGTGTTTAAGTATAGAGACACTGACCCAAATGCAACGCTGCGATCTAGGAATACAAGGACTGTAATGACTTTACACAAACAACATGACACCTGTCCAGTCCAGGTTTTCACTTAAAGGCCACCTATTATGCTTTTCCTTATTTTCTGTTATATCTGTCACTGTTACAGTGATGGATCTTCGTTTTTGTTTTTTTGTTATCATCTCAGGCGCAGAAGTCGTCATAGCACCTTCCGAATACAGAGCAACCCAAAACAAAGATGGCGGTTCAAGCTCTAGATCCATCTGAAAGCTAAAGGTTTGGTCAGCTCAGATTTGAATTCAACATTTTCACTTTGTTTGTCAGTGTGAGGTAGCTTTGAACAATCTGGATGACTACAATAAGAAAAAAAAAAGCAAAGCAAATTCTTCTTCAAAATAAATTTCTTTTTTTTTTTCTTGGGTCGTGGTGGTCGGGGTGGGGTGGGGGGGTACAAACTTGGCCTTCTTGTGATGGCCAGGCAAGGGGTACAGGACACTGGAAACATACATCCCAAATGTAACCTCACTTTCCCAAAAGTGTTGGTGCGCATCTAGACACATGTACACACATAATGTGGAAATATATATAAAACCATCTGGTTGTTTATAAACACAGACTTTTACAACAATGGAACCAAGGATTTATAATACACAGTAAAAGCTTCTGCTCCCTCTCGCGATGGATGGGCCTGGAGCTCACACTTTCACCTACTGAGATTTTTATTTTTTTTATTGGTCTACACGGATTCAAAATGCAATATTTGTGTGTCAGGAGAGAAACAGGGAGGGAGGTGGAGTAGGACTGCGACAGAGGTTGTAGTGGAAAAGGGGGCTTGGCTTACTTACAAAGAAAACCCGTCCAGTCCTACCTCAGCTCTTCCTATTCAGGTTAAACAATAAATAAGTGACATCAAGCCATGTTTCTGTTCATAACTTGTTCGCTCTGTGCCTCTTCCTCTTGGCTCTGACTCATTCCTGTCAACAGCGGGCCATGGGAAACATGACTGGATCTCAGGAAGCGGGTTGACAGAGAGTGCTGGTGTGGTGTACAGATATTGCCGGTGCCCTTCAGTGCTAACATCCAAGGAGTACACCTTGGAGAGCACTTTGTAGTGAGAGAAAAAAATGATCAATTTTCTTTTATAATTTCCAGTCTTCTTTATTGTGGGCATGTGTGTAATGTTTCATGGTTTAGTTTATTTATTTCCTGTT